ACCATATGGCATTTTAACTGCCTAGCAACGTTGAAAGGGCCAGAGTAGATAGTGACATACTGATCTGATCTTTTTGGGACATATGTTAGCTAAGAGAAGTCAAATTCTTCATTCAGAAATCACTTTCTGAGATGGAAGACATGGTGATGCACCTGTGGTTACATGAAGACAAATTATGTTTCCTAAGGCTTCAAGTTTTCTGTGATTCATGGACAGGAAATGGGGCTTAGTGTGCCAAAACAGCCATCCAAGCTAAGATGGAACATATATAGGAACTCCCAAGAGGCGTTTGAGCAGAAAAAGCTAAGAGCGGTAAGGTCTTCCTGTTGCTTTGCACCCTCACTGTTGCAGCCCACCGAACATCTCTGTTTAGTCTTTTTTTTCTACTAGTTGCGAATGTGTCTTGGTATTCAAGGGCTTGCCAGACAATCCTCTGTAGGTCCTGGTTCCTTCTTTCATCATAGCAACATCCTTAACACTCAGATAGTGATGTACAGGATTACACATGTCTCTGAATATAAGTTTTTTTTTCTGTGTATTTTCAGTACTTTGTGTTCTGTCCCTCTTATTTTTATTAGAGTGCCTTGTTCCCACATAATTCCCTGCTGTGACTGGGACAGTTGTCTGCATCACTGCAGGTTCTTAGTAAATGCTGCCCGCCTGCCTGACCACTCAGACAAGGACTCCCATCCCCAGCATATTAATGACAGGACTTCTGTTGAGATGACATAGCTGTTGTGTTATGTCTATGCTGGAGAGTCTTTGATCTCTGTTGGTCTCTGCCTCATTATCTCTTTTTCTAAAGGCTTTATCAGTCATACACACAAGAATTCTAGCCATGTATTTCCCTTAGGAATAAGAATATGGGCAAGAATAGCAAAATGAGATTCGGCTTAGAAAAGTGCACAGAATTTTTCCTAAGAGATTCTAAGAATAAGGGGAAAAATTCAATGAATTGGAGAGGAGTAAATTTAAAAGAAAGAGAGAGGAAGACAAATAGCAGAACAATAGTACCTCTCTTGATGGTTTGCCCTTGAAGACTCCTGATCAATTTATACTTGTCTTAATGAGAGACCACAGTCTCCTTGTCTCCTTGAGAGCAATGTCCAGTGTGTGTGTGAGTGCGTGTGTGCGTGTGCATGTGCAGGCACATGCGTGTTTTAATCTAGTACCCCTATATGTACATATAATAAACAGCAATTATCCTTCCCTCTACGTAACCCTTAATGTTCTTCTTACAATAATATTCTTGGGAGACGCTGGAGGACAAGTTATAAGATCAGATAGTTTTGGAAACACCTTTTCTCATAGGCGCATCCCTCACATCCTCATTGTTTAACTTTGCATTATACTGTGTGTCCCAGCTTTGTTTGACCCCGAAGCCCTTCCATCATGTCATTCCTAGTTCTATTCCATTGCCAAGCTGGGAACACTTTGCATTGCAGGGTGAGGTTAGAGAAAGAACTATAGCAGCAGCTAGAGACTGCTGTCCTAAATGCATCTCCCCTCCATTACTATAATCTTACCAGGGGGCAGGAGAGCACCGGATGGGGCAGCCTCTCTCTCCTCTCAAAGCAGAAAGCTTTCATTAGCAGACTCAGCTAGGAACAGAAAGGATGAAACACACACACTTACTCCCTCGTGACTTTCCAGAAAGCATTCCAGAGGATTCCAGAAGGCAGCCTGAAGCCAGCAGCGGGACCATGTCCAGCACTGACCCAGGCAGGAGCCTGCTGGGGTTTGGATGGGACTTTGACAGCCAAAAGACTGTCAAGTCAAAAGAGTATCTTAAAAGGGAAGGTGGGCGAGAGAGACACCGGCCTGCTGTCCTTTTCTCGTAAAAACAAAGGCTGCAATAAACCATCATGACCTCCCAGGCCAGGCAACTCACTGGGCTTCCTTTTGGCTCTTTTCATTCTGCTTGGAACCCTATGAGTGACAGTTACGGTATGAAAAAAGAAAAAGACAAGTCACGACACCTGTTCTTTCTCTTCCTTCCTTAATATAAGCTTCAAATCCTGCAGAAAGGCCAGAAGTTAGACTATGACTCTCTGTACTGTCTGCTGTTAATGAGGCCTCCAGTGACATTTCCCCGCTAGACATTGAAACAGGTAACGATATTGGTTCTGAAACAGGAGAGGTGGATCACACCTGGGGCATCCATGATTATTTCCATCTGCTGGCCCCTACCTTGGGGGAACCCTAGCTATGGCAGGTATACTAATCACAGCAGAGTGGCTGGGATAAAAGACCCTGGATTATTGGGGTGATGGTCATGCTAGCCTACAGACCTTTGTGCCGATACTTCTCTCAGGGAGTCTGCAAGTGAGCTGCCTGTGTAGGGAGAGATACTGGTTCCTGAGAGCTTTTGCAGTCCTTCAGCTACTTACAGGAAAGAAGATACCTCTAAGGCTTATGCCATGCATTTGTTGATACTCAGTAGGTGGGTTATGTCGGCTTCATCTAGAATCTAATCTGCATGCAAACAAAAAACAACCTGTTACCAAGACTAATATGTTTGCTTTTCCAAAGTCTGTCACCAGTTCAAAGCCTCTGAGAATAAGACTCTCAGAAAATGCTTCCTAAGATGGCGATGATTATGGCTGCTTCCTGAGTAGGTTGATGTCTTTGGATAGAGAGTGTGAACATTTATACTTCTCACCATCCCACCCTCTTCAGATATCATCTCTACAGGCTAATGCATGCAGCTCTGCCTTGGCACAAATGTTGCCCATTTGTGTTAGTCATGAACTGGCTCTTTCATCTGATCCATTTTATGCTCTCATTTTTTCCCCCTTCAGTGTGTCATTACATTCCGAGCAATTGCCACTTCCCTGACTATGATTGATCCCCACTTATTTCATCCTGCATGCAAAGTATTTGATTTCAAGTGTGGTTCATTCTGCTCGGTGAACTCATTATAAAGTCAAGCTGAACATCTCACAGATGTGAAGCACCTTGTCTTTGAGGTTCAGCAATCTAATTTGGAATCTCATTATAGAACTTCTACTAGTAGTGGGCACAGGGGCAACTACCTGGCTGGCATTTTCCTGCCCATCTCCTATCCCATAAAGAAACTGTCATTTCAATACAGGCATGCCAGAATATTCCCCATTTTGGAAAATAGCTTTATTTATCTCTCCACAAATGCCTCTTGGCACTGATGAGAGAGTAATACTTTGTAGGCAATTTTATTAAGCATCTCAGGAGGTCAGGTGCTGAAAGAGACAGCTCACAGCTGCTTGCCTCCCATCTAGTTAGTAGGCTTCTTTATGGATCTGATGTTACATTTTCTAAGGTTTGTAGTGTGGTTGTCATTTTGCTAAGAATCTGTATACCAAGAATCTTTGCTTGGTACCGTAATGCAGTTTAACTCAGGGAGCACTGATTTCTGGTGTGTCTATGGCGAATGAAGGGAGAATGGGGTTGAAATGGAAAGTTCACTTTATTTCCAGAGAAATGCATTGATTCTGAAAGATTGATGCATTCATTTTTTTTTCGCTTATTTGGTGCTTTCAAAACCAATAAGCATCCAAGGCGCAGTTCTCACTGCTAATGAAGTTTTTGTGGTTTGTTTTTTTTTTTCACTTTCGATTTTAAAACTTTGGTAAGGAGAATATTTGCTTTTCCAATTGCAATTGTTTCCATTCACCTATAGAGCAGGCTGAGCCTTCAAGAGAACTGTACCTTTGTTTCTTTGCTATGAAAATGTAAGTAGATTTATTTAACCACATAGAAGGAAAAGTGAACTAATACATATATTAATGAATAGGGATAGATTCATGTGGTTATGTTCAGCAACACACATAGATTTTTATCTTGCAATTCAGTTCAGCAAAAATACAGATTTTCTGGGATCACACCCCATCTCCTGACTTCTCCATTTAATCTAGAAAAGGGGTCAACAAACCACAGCCTGTGAGCCAAACCCATCCGACTGCCTGCTTTTGTAAATAACATTGTTTGGAACACAGGCACATATATTAATTTATGTTCATTCCTGCTTTCCAGCTGCCCAGACGGTTTAGTAGTAGAGACAGAAACCATATATCCCTCAAACCTAAAGTGTTTACTATCTGAACTTTTACAGGAAAAGTTTGGTGACCTCTAATCTGGGAAAAGAGACCTTACAGTTCTATTTAATTCACATGTAACAAAGCATGTGTTTTGAAAATAATTTTCAGTAGGATAACTGAGAGGAGAATTACAATGAGCATGGAATGAGAATCTGACCCTACTGACTGTCAAAAAAGGTTTATGAATGTTAAACCTCTGCTTTTTCTACCCAAGAGGTCTTTGAATGGAATGATAAATTAATAACAACAATGTGATATAATTTATTCATATTTGAATGGTATTTTTGACTTGGAAAGCTTCCTCTCCACTGACTTTTGATTTCCACTTATGGACTGGGGAATTAATTATTTCATTTTATTTTTATTGCATTTCATTTGGGTCAGATGCATTGCTCAGGAAAGGTGGAATTAGGAATAAGTGACACTCAAGTTTTATAGCACATTCACCTCATAAAATTGTCTCAGTGCCTTATTTCCCCCCGTTTGGTGCCCCCTTCTGACAGTTCCCTCTCCTTGGCATGACCCTTCAGGAAGTACTGGCAGGTTCAGTACCATAAGGGCTGGCTCCTATCACACATCACTGTGCAGTTGGGAGGATGTCACCACATGACTATTCCTCCTGGAGTCAACTCACAGACTTTGAGTTACATCCAATCATTCAAACAGGTACAGTGAGGCAATGAAATTAGATGGATGAATACAGGCAGATACCTGTAGATAGATGATGTAGATAGGTAGATAGATTAGACAGATAATAGATAGATGATAGATAGATAGATAGATAGATACATACATACATACATACATACATACATACATACATACATAGATCAATAGACAAAGGGACAGAAACAGAGACAGGCAGAAGAAAACACAAGACTAGGAGTTCAAAGACCTAGATTCAAGTTTTGTCTCTGCACTTACCTTAGCCAAGCCAGGAAGGTCAGGTGCTAAAAGAGACAGCTCACAGCTGCTTGCCTTCCATCTAGTTAGTAGGCTTCTCTGCAAATAATAATAATGTATTGTAAGAATGTTATATGATATTTTACAAGAAAATACGATAATATAACTGAAAGTACTTTTAATTTGTAAGTTAATCTAAGTTATTACAATTATGACAGGATAAAAATTACTTTTTACCTCAAAGTTCACAGCCTCTCCTTTGACCCACAAAAGAGATTTCTCACATTGCCCAAGTCAACCCGCTCCTTCCTCCTTGCTTTCAATCAGAAGGAAGTGTGTGCCGCTAGAGATGAGATAGGTCAACAAGCCTTGTTAAGGAATGGAGTGTGTGGAGACACAGAGTGTAGGAGGAAGGACACTGGGTTGGGGAATATGCCGTAAGTCTGGGAATTGCAGAGAAAAGCCCTCCAGAGCAACTTCTAGTGTGTGATGGAAACGAGAGGAGAAAAGAAAGAAGAGTTTTCGTAAGTGCTACTCGGGTGATACAGCTCACTACCCGTCACAGGCTGAGAGATGCAAATTAAAATTTGTTACTTTGGAACTTGTTGGTTGCTTGAATTTGTTTTATTTAAACTGGAAAATACCAATGGAAACTGAACAGAATAGTTCATTCAGACTTTTAAGGGTGTATTATATGTTTTTATTATTTATGGGTCCCTGGTTTGATTTTATACTATTACTTTTAAGAAGGCCTAAATTTATACAAATGTGTAATTTTAGGTATATATTAAAAACCGTCTGATTTAAAAAGCTTTTCTCTAAAGCCAGTGAGAAATGCCTGATATTGATATTTTCCAGACAATGTTAGGGCACCATTTCCTGTGTGTTGCAGTCAGAAGATTAGTTCAGAGATTTTTCAAACTGGGGAATGTGTGAGGTGTAATGAGTGTATAGTTTGAAAGAAAATACACATACTCAACCTATTGTTTTCTGCAAACAAACTAAAGAGAATATGACACACATCTCTCATCCATTGGTGATATGGAAAATACTGAACCAGAAGGCCCTTAAAGGATACAAATCCTAACACATGAAAAATGTTTAAAGAGATTGAGAAACCTGCTAGTCAGTCACTAGGACTCTAGGATTGAGTTAGCATGATGATAAACTTGCCCTAAAGTATTTGGGAAAAAAGTTAAACATATATATGTTTTACACAGATTATTCCATTTAACCCACTCGATACCTCTTAAAGAAGGTATAAAGGTCATTATGGTATAGAAACAAGGTTGAGATTTACAAACCTGCTTATATATAGTAAGTGGTAGAGGTGACATTTGCACCAAGGTGTTTTGGTTCCAAAGCCCTGTTTCTACTAAGCTGTAGTCCCCTGCTGGGTGACTGGCAATGTCAGGCCCACAGGCTTCAAGATGAGTTGACTTTATGAAGGGTTTAAGTGACATTCCAGGGTGGCATAATTAATTAGTGATGTCCTAAACTCCTAATCTTCTGAATCACATTCATACCTATTCCTCAAACTGCAGATCAGATAAAACAGACAAATAGTACCTGGGACCAGCTCTCCAGGAGCAATGGAAAGGCTTGTTGGCTTCCACTAATGGTGCTGCTTCTTAAATTTTTTTCTGTCAGTATCTTCTGGTCATCTTGCCTTTTTTCTCATTTTCTATATCAAACAAATATGGCCCCAATTCAGATTTTGATATATTATGATTTTCACAATTTCTAGAAGAGAGTCAAACTGTATTAGTTTCCCATGTCTACCATTTAAGAAACTACCACACAGTTCATCACTTAACAATCAAAAATTTATCTTCTCGCAGTTCTGGAGACCAGAAGTACAAAGTCAAAATCAAGGTGTTGACATGCTTGGTTTCTTCTAGAGGCTCAGCGAGAGAATCCGTTCCATGTTTTTCTCCTGGCTTCTGGTGGTTGCCAGCAAGTCTTGGTGTTCCTTGGCTTGTAGCTGCATAACTCCAATCTTTGTCACCATCTATATCTGGTCTCTGTGTCTCTGTGCCTTCTCCTTTCTTATTTCTTATAAGGATACTCTGCATTGGAGTCAGGGCCCAAGCTAAGTCCAGGATAATCTCATTTCAAGATCCTTAATTTAATTACATTTAAAGATGATTTCCAGATAAGGTTATATTCAAATGCACTGCATTAGGACTACAGATAGGTTTGAGTAGACACAATTCAACCTAGTACACCTCAAAGACGTTGTGACCCAGGAAGCGATTAACTAAGCCCACAGAAGCAATAGGCTCTACACACCATATTCCAACCATAAACAAAAGGAGACTTCTCATTCTAACCTCTCAGCATCATTAACATGTATGCAGCCAGCTGAGATTTTCAAGGATTCAACAATGCAGACTAGGCTATGTTGGAATTAAATGAGGTTCTTGGAGAAATGGACTGTGGTCTGAACCCCAATAGCTTGGCACAAGCCAAGATTGTGCCATTGCACCACCCTGACCTTAGGTAAGTCATTAAATGCCCTTCAGCTTTAGTTTCCTCATCTATAAAATGGGACAACAATAGTAACATCTATAACCAATTTTTCACTGCTATATATAAAAGTGCTTTGTAAATTACACAATAGTTATTTTCACTATTAGCTAGTTCAAAGCCCAAGTAAATAACTCTGTTTCCTTTTTATTTTGTATAGCTTCTCCTTCTTCTGTTTTTTAAGGAGCAGCATTATCCTTACAGCATTTTTTGAAGACATTTTGTGTATCAGACCCTGGGCATGATCTAAAATGGCTTTCTGTATTTTATATTTACAGTGAAATGATTATATACAGGTGTGTATGGGAAAGCAGAGGTGACATTAACAACAGTTAATTTAGGAAATCAAATGCTTCATAAGTAGGAGATGTATCTAAATATTTCACTATATTCATGACTCAAAATATGGCTCATCCTAATAGCAGATACCCAAGAAAAAAAGAGAGGGAAAAGTTAAATGTCTTTCACAAATATCATGTAAACTTGTCCTTCTGAAAACATTTTCATGATCATTTAAAAGGAAATGAATAATATAATTCAAAAATATAAATAGATGATCATATTGGACTGCAATGAGAGCAGATGTTTTAAGTTATGTAAAATCTTACCCCATCTGGTAAACAGTAAAAATGTCTCAACAGCAACCCACAGATGAAATGTTGCCAATAAAGCAAGTATAGCGGGGACTGACTAGAAGTCAATTTTACTGGATTACTTCATAAAATGCTTAAAGGCTATTAATATGCACATAATAATTTTACCGCTTACAGCAATTACCATTCTGAAAACTATTTTTAAAAATTTTAGAAATTTCATCTAATTTCATAAATTTCACCATAAATCACATTTGTTAAATTAAACAGCTTATTTTCTCCCAGAGTACCTTGAACTTAGAAATATATCCTGGAGTAGTTATATGTTTAAGTTAATTAAGACATTTACTCCATCTCCAATCTAATCAGGATGAGTACCAATAAGACAGAATAAAATTAGAGATGGACCAGACTCCCACTGTTGCAGATCCCATTCTGTTTGTGAAGAGTAGGTGGATCTATCAGGAACATTTGGTTTATGTCAGTTTGCCTTGTAGCTGGGTTTCATTGTGTGAACTATTTCCAGTTTTTTCAGCTACAAATAGGTGGCTACCAATATAAACTTGCTGCATTATTCCAAGTTGAATTATTACCAGAAAACTTTTCTAAGAGCAATAGACTTGGATCTCTTCGAGCAGAAAGTCTGTTCTTAAGATTCTTCCCCATTTGGGTCTAAAAGTTGTTATTCCCATCACATTTCTTGTCCCCTTCTTTAAACTATTCTATGGAAACCCAGTACCATTTCATTCATTCATTCTAAATAGAAGAAAGGCCAGAAAGTTACCCCACACTACAAAGAAATCTGTAAAAAGTTAATTACTCCCAGGTATGTGTAAACTCCTACTTAGAACAATAAAGGAATTTTGTAAATTTATGAAGAGTAACCCTAAATGAAGAGAGAAATAAAGGGAAGGGAGGGGATTTTATTACAAAGACAAATTATTGTACTAGTTTTTTAATGTGTTCTGTGAATTCAATTAAAGGGGTGTCACACTCACACAAACAGATACCACCCCCCACTCTCCAGGGCTCTATTTATACTAGAAGATTGTTTATTATTGTTTAGCCAAACCTTGTTCATAAATCAGTAGAAATGAAACAATTAAAACTAACTGACCAAAACAAAGAACATGAAAAATTTGAATTAAGTATTCTTTTATTTTTAATGGTTTTATTCACAGAGTCTTAGAAGGTTCTTCAAATGTTTCATATGAAGAAACAAAGACCATTAATATTCAATTAGAGTAAATAAGCCCTCTTCTTATGAATTGATAGTTTAATTCAACAATTATCTATATTATCTTTAAAAATACATATCATTTGACTGGGCACGGCGGCTCATGCCTGTAATCCCAGCACTTTCGGAGGCCGAGGTGGGCCAATCACTAGGTCAGGAGTTCGAGACCAGACTGACCAACATGGTGAAACCCCATCCCTACTAAAAATACAAAAATTAGCCTGGAGTGGTGGTGTGCACCTGTAATCCCAGCTAGTCAGGAGGCTGAGGCAGGAGAATCACTTGAACCCGGGAGGCAGAGGTTTATGTATTTTATATATATATATATAATATCACATTCCTGCTTAAAACCATGCAATGGCTTCCAACCATGCACAGTCTGGGCTGGGCATGGTGGCTCACATCTGTAATTCCAGCACTTTGGGAGTCTGAGGCAAGCAGATCACTTGAGGCCAGGAATTTGAAACTAGCCTGGCCAGTATCGTGAAACACTGTCTCTACTAAAAATACAAAAATTAGCCAGGCGTGGTAGTCTGCACCTGTAATTCCAACTACTTGGGAGGCTGAGGGAGGAGAATTGTTTGAACTCAGGAAGCAAAGGTTGCAGTGAGCGGCGAGATTGCACCACTGCACTCCAGCCTGGGCAACAGAGCAAGACTCTGTCTAAAAAAAAAAAAAAAAAAAAAAAAAACCACACAGTCCAAACTCTTTGTTCTTGTCCTGAATGATCTGGCACCTGCCTAAATATCCAACTCTATCTTCTACCTGTCTGTCCCTTACCACAAAATGACTTCTGACAATTCCTGCCTGCCTTAGGACATTGTTGCCACTCTTTGGAGTGCTCCACTGCCATTTCTCATCTCCCAGATCACCACTACAAAGAAGTTAGCTCCTATACTCTATCTAATAAAATATCCCCCTCCCCAAGACTCTCTTATCCCATCACCCTGTGTGCTTGCTTTATAGCATGTATCACAGTTTGTAACTGCTTTGTTTGTCTATGTTTCCCATCTATTGTTATTCTCCTGCCAGTGGAATATCAACTCCATGAGAACAGAGACTACACATGCCTTCTCTTTGTTTCCCTGGCACTCATCACACGTGCTCAATAAATGTTCTTTGGGAGTACTACTTTTTGAAAGAAAAATTGTGAAAATGTTTCATTGTCCTCTGGCCGGGTGCAGTTGCTCACATCTGTAATCCCAGCACTTTGGGAGGCCGAGGTGGGCCAGTCACTAGGTCAGGAGATCAAGACCATCCTGGCCAACATGGTGAAACCCTGTCTTTACTAAAAATACAAAATTAGCCGGGCATGGTGGCGGGTGCCTATAGTCCCAGCTACTCAGGAGGCTGAGGCAGGAGAATCACTTGAACCCAGGAGGCAGAGGTTGCAGTAAGCCGAGATCATGCCATTGCACTCCAGCCTGGGCTACAGAGCAAGACTCTGTCTCAAAAAAACAAAAAAACAAAAAAAAAGAGAGAGAGAGATTCATTATTCTCAAGGAGCTTACAGTCTGAAGGTAAAGGGGATATTGAAACACAACCAGAATACAGAGAGGAATGTAAAAATGTTAAAACTACAGAATGAAAGCAAAGTGCTATAGGAACAGAAACTGGATAGTAATGATCTAAACAGAGTTACTACGAAGATTAAATGGGAAAAAAAATGATGAAATTTGAAAGGAGTCATTTAATGTGATAAGAATATCACAACAGCCAGGTGCAGTGGCTTACACCTGTAATCCCAGAAGTTTAGGAGGCCGAGGTGGGTGGATCACTTGAGGTCAGGAGTTCGAGACCAGCCTGACCAACACGTTGAAACCCCGTCTCTACTAAAAATACAAAAATTAGCTGGGCATCGTGGTGGGTGCCTGTAATCCCAGCTACTCGGGAGGCTGAGGCAGGAGAATCGCTTGAACCCAGGAGGTGGAAGTTGCAGTGAGCCAAGATTGCACCACTGCACTCCAGCCTGGCGACAGAGCGAGACTCTATCTAAAAAATAAATAAATAAAATAAATAAAAATAAAAATCAGGAACAAAGACATAGAAAGGGACAACAAGTTCAAGAAAGTCTGCAGAATGATGGGAAGTTTGGGATGGATACGACATAGGGTATACGTGATGGAAGTGAGGTGGGAAAGACAAGGCGGGCTGGGGCTGAGGGCAGGGAAACTTCAGGCTTTGCCGAGGTGTCCAGAGTGAACCTTAAGGGCATGTGGGGTAGCACAACTTCACCAGAGAGAATGAGCATGATCCCCACAGAAGCGTGTGCTCTAAGAGAGCCAGAGCAAAGGGAAGCCAACAGGAGTTCTCGCCGCAGCATGTGCCTTGATGAAACCCTTTTCCCATCTCTTAATCTCTGCTTGCTTCAGCATCTCAGACTCTTGATTGAATAAGCCCTCCGGGGATAATGCTTCTATCCACTGTGCCTCAAAAGTGAAATCTAACATTTTACCCTCTTTAAGTGCATTTCATTACAAGTAGTTACCTTACTCCCCTCCAATTCTCAAAGGCGCTGGTGAATGATAAAGGAAGAGAAGTAAGGACTTAGGTATTTGAGGTTTATGTTTCTAAGTGATGTTTTTAAACCCATGTCTAGTTTTATCAAGAGAAGAAATCGGGCAATTTTTCACAGAGTGAAGATAATGGCTTATGCCTGTGGCAGTTAAAGTATCTCCCAGCGCCCCTCTCTCTTTTTCTGGCTTTAATACCGACAGCAGCAGCACTAAACCTCCACCAGACAAAGGGTGACACTGTCAGCAGACTGTTTTACCAAGATAAGAATACAAGTGAAAATAAGTCTTTATGCTCTAAGCACCTATGTTTTATTCGATGATAGCAAGAATCCCATCTATTAGCTTTTTGGAAAGTGGGTTTCTAGTTGACATAATGGAAACAGATTTTTAAGTCATCAGAAACAACACCAAAAATCCCCTTGGGTAAGACCTGTGTTCTCCTAGATTCCTTTTTGAAATCTGCTAATAGTCTAACTCTGTAATGCTATATGACTCAACATTTTTAATGTGGGGAGTTTGGATTCCCATGTATCTTCCTACTACACATAATGACATCATTTCTGTGATATTATTTCATTTTCTTTCTTTTTTTATTTAAGTTTATTTTATTTTAGACAGGGTCTCACTCTTTCTCCCAGCTGGAGTGCAGTGGTGCAATTATGGCTCGCTGCGGCCTTGACCTCCTGGATTCACACAATCCTCCCACCTCAGCCTCCTGAGTAGCTGTGATGACAGGGGCATGCCACCATGACAGGCTATTTAAAAAAAAAAAAAAAAATCTGTAGAGATGGGGTTTCCCCATGTTGCCCAAGCTGGTCTCCAACTCCTGAGCTCAAGCAATGTTCCCATCTTGGCCTTCCAAACTCCTGGGATTACAGGTGTCTCTAACCACGCACCCACCCGCACACACATACAAACACACACACAAGTAAAATACATAATAACCTCTGCGTTCTTTATATAGGGCCTTTGTAGCCGTGTATCGATAGACTTACACATTAAAATAGGTTGACTGATGTAGAATCCTGGTGGTTGGGGGAGGCAGGGACAGAGCAACCTCCTCAAGGAGGTTTTTTCGTTGTCCAAAAAAAAAAAAAAAAAGAGATATATTTATTATTAACAGATTTCCTCCCACCTTATAAATTCATATCTCAGTTATCTATAAGTCGATACATTTGGTTAGGGTTTCTTTTCACTTCCTGACAGTTGCTCAAAGAAATTTTCATAACCTCTGGGTTCAAAGACTTGCTTCTCTTTGAACTCCTAGTCTCTGAACTTCAGGCTGGGGACACATGGGTCATTTGTATGAATATTTTTTATTTTTGTGTTGTGTCTTTCGCCTTAAACAGTAAATGTTTATCTTCTCTATGTGTCCAAAGATACTACATAGCAAACATTAGATACAAGAAATATTAGAATGAATGGTGTAAGAGGAAGAAAAACTGAAATCTGTGAACTTAGAACAGTATCGGTGTTGTCAAGAACTCCAAGTTATATCAATATGCCAAGGATATTTAGAAATGCAAAGAAAATGGTCATGCTGTCCAAAACACTAGTCTGATCCTATCTCCCCCAACTTAGAAACTTTCAGTAGCTTAACATTGCACTTAGAATAAATCCGAATGTCTTCCCATGACTAGGAATGCCCTGCCTGCTCAGACCTTCCGTCCATGACACATCACTCTTTCCTTCTGCCCATACGCAGTCTGCACACTTGAGTACAGTTTCAGTTCTTCCAATACATCCAGGTTTTCCCTACTGTCAGGTTTTTGTGCCCATTGCTTGGAAGGTCCTCACCTTCCCTGAGGCCACTATTTTCATAACCAACTCCTTTTATTTTAGGTCTCAACAAAAGGGTCAAGTTCTCATTGAGACCTTTTCTTATTACCTGAATTAAGTAAAACACTGTGTATGTTGTTTGATGATTTTCATGGTTTATGAGCTCAGCCCCTTACTGTGATCCTCCATGGGCCTTAAATACATCTTTCCAATCAATCTATTTTTGTGTAGCCTTAACTGTGCACAATTGCATGTGTGTTTCTGTCTCTCATAGAATGTCAGCTCCATGAAGACAGCACCCCTTTCTGTTTTGCTCACCACTCTATCCTTAGCAACTAGTACAGGGCCTGGAAAATGTCTGTTGATTTTAAAATTGAAGAGTAGGTGCCAGGTCACTGGAACTCTACTGTTTCCTTCTAAACTCCATCTCTGGGGGAACATGTCTAATAAAAACATTTTAAAACATCTTCTGACCTAGGTTTTTCAGACTATTCTTGGAGCAATGAGTCATTAACTTCTGTAGCATCAGGGTCAAGTGACTGGCTACTTGGACAGGTTGAGCCATTTAAGTATAATCCATCTGTAAGTACAACTGCAGGTCATTTGGTGAGTATAAAATTGCATGCTTAAAGGGAGCACTCCCTTTTGGAAATTTGGCTCATTAGTAAGTTGAGGAGTAATGGAGTGTGATCACAGCTTCAGTGCTTTCCTTGGAGTCAGTGGCGCCTTGGGAACACTCTCTAATAACTAATCCCAACTTGCTATAGCAGCAGGACCCGCCCCGACTTTAGGAACTGAAAACCTGTGCCTGAAGGCAACAGCCATATGCCTTGCTCCGGGCCTGCTTTGTTTCACAGAATTACAGGCCTTTCTTTCAGCCTCCAAAGCACACTGCTGCTTATTTAGATAATAAAGAACAATCTAAATATCAACCACATGGAAGGTTCAGTGCCAGATGTATGCTCTCAAGCTGTCAAAAGAAAAAAAAGATCTCTTTATTATTAATGGATCTCCTCTCACCTTATCAATTCATATCTCAGTTCTGTACGTTGATACATTTGGTTAGGGTTCATTTTCACTTCTTGACAGTTGCTTTCCTTGTTTAAAATCCTCAGAAGTTCATCCTGTATGGAGATGAAATGCGGAAAAGTCCCTAGAAAATTTAACTGAAAAGACAATGGCTATGTCTGTCAGTTTTTATCAGAAACCTCAGTTCCCATTCCTAGTGCTGCATGTCTTGCTTTGAGAAGTGCACCAAAGGTCAGCTGGAATTCAAGTCTCATCAAGTTACCCCTAATCGTAAAGAAGGCACACTCTAGATTTTGAACAGCTAACAAGTGTTTTGGCACTTCTGGAGTTGCTCGCGAGGCAGGTCATGTTTGTTGACAGTGTAATAACCACATAAATGTACTTCAGTTGTCCAATTGAAACTTTACTGAATTGATGCCTTTCTGAGTAGAGTCAGTACTCTTGGAAAGTTTGACATTGCTAAAAACTGAAATAAAGTGTTAGTGTAATTACAGTCTTGAAAGGGCAGCCACACAGGTTTTACAACAATATTAGCTACACCAAGAGTAAATATTTGAAGCAACTACAAAAATTGAATGCTCTAGTTAAGGCAAAAGATGTGTACATTAAAAGTTAGAAGACAGTATAAGGTAAGAGCTCATAAGGAAGTGAAAGTATGTACCTTCCATTCCTTAAACTTTACAGTGGCATCCTATTACATGTAAAAAAGCAACTAGGCTCATTATCAGGGCCTGTACAATCCCCACGTGATTATTCAACACCACTTCTCCAACCTCTTGTTCTCCTACTCTCTCCTCATCCACTCCATGCCAAGGTTGTTTCTGCCCCAGGGCCTTTGCACTTGCTGTTCTCCCTGACTGAAAATTTATTACTTCAGATGGAAGAAAAGACCTAAGCTCGCAGAGTATCCTCTTTTCTCACCACCCCCCACCTCTGTTTCATTTCCTTTGTAGTGTTCATCGAAGTCTGAAATGATCTTATTTACTTTTTTGTTATTAGTTTATTATTTGTCTCTTTGCTACAGAATGCAAGCTCCATGAGGGCAGGGACTTTGCATGTATTATTGTCTGCTATACATGTAGAACCTATATCTGCCACACTGTGTTTGTGTGGTTTTTGTTTGTTTTTGAGACAGGGTCTCACTGTCACCCAGGCTGGAGTACAGTGACATGATTATAGCTCCATGCAGCCTTGATCTTCTGGTTCAAGCAATCCTCCTGCCTTAACCTTCCGAGTAGCTGGAACTATATGCACATACCACCATACCTAGCTAATTAAAAAACATTGTTTTAGAGATGAGGTCTTGCTGTGTTGGCCAGGCTAGTCTCAAACTCCTGAGCTCAAGCAATCTTTCCACCTCAAACTCCCAAAGTGCTGGGATTACAGGCATAAGCCACTGCACCCAGCCACACTGTGTGTTTAATAGATGTTTTTTGAATGCATAAATTAATAATAAATAAAATATTAATAATAGTAGCAAATACCTCAACACTTTCATGTGTCAAAGAATGGCATTAAACCATGATGTGAGAAAAGTATAAAATAGATGGAATAGATACAAGGACTAGAGCAGTTCAGGGGAGAAGGAAACCTTATGGGACAAACCCACCAGAAAAGCAACCTGTAAAGAAAGGGTAAATGTGGGGACAGAAAGCTTGGAGAAAGGAATTTACTGGAATAAATATGAAGGAAGAAGCAATACATTCAGCATGTTGGGGTCACATAAATCAACCAGAAGTTATAGAAGAGGGTTCAAGTCGGAAAATAATGGGAAAGAAGACCAGAGCCTATAGTGCAGAAGGCACTGAATGTTAGGCAACAAAAAATGATAGCATTGTTGAGTGTTATGAGCACAGATAATAAAATGACAGATGATGAAGAAAATGGTACCCATAATTATCAGAAAGTGTTGCCTGTGGGTACGGGTAAATGTTGCCTTCTTCTGATGTCACAAGGGAACTGAATCATAGTAGGCTGCACAGGAAGTTTCTAGAGCACTAGCAACCCTGTTTTTATTGATTGGGCTAGTGCTTATACATGTATCTGTCTTACAAGTATTCTTTAAATTATGTGTGTGCGTGTGTGTATGCTTTTTTATGTATATGCTATCTTTCAGAAGAAGACATATAATTTTTTTAAAGGCACTAAAACAAGAAAATTAGAAGGATAGGCACTGGTGTCAGACTGCCTGGGCCTAAATGTCAGTTTTGCCACTTACGAGTTCTGTGTTCTATAGCATATTACTTAATTTCTCTGAGCCTCAGTTTTCCCCTGAAAAACAGTTATCTCCTGAAAATGGGGATAATATACTACTACCTCCATGGGTTTTCATGAGAATTAAATTAAATAATACAGGTAAATCATCCAGTAGAGTGCCTGGCAGATTATTTGTTCATATTAATTTTGTAGGATTTTGTATCCCAAATTGCATTTATTGGAATCATATCTTCACTATGTTGTCTATGCATAAACCAAAGAAAGTGCCATGTTACTGCTGAGAAGGCACTGATACACCTAAGAAGAGTTGGTTGACAACCCTCCATTCCAGCAATCTGCCTATGTCCCAGCAATATATCACAGATGCTCCAGTGACTTAAAGTTTGAAGATTCATGAGCATGCAGAGGACTCTAAGATGCAATGTATTCTAAAATGGATTATTACAAAACCATGATGGAACTGAGACTGGCCCACTACTCCCATAGACTGTTCTTTTGGATCAACACAGAAATTGGCCCTTCTGCTCTTAAAGCCTGAAACCTGTATTTGTTTTATCTGAGTTCCTTCTTCAGGAAAGGACCTTCAAGCCTCTCAAAAAAAGTATCAAAGAACTGAAACTCATTAGATCAGGGCACCAGATGTATCCTTTTCCCTCCCTAGTTCTTGTTTCAACACTTTGTCACATTTCTTCCCTGCTATATAAACCCCTAGTTGTAGTCAGTCAGGGAGATGAATCTGAGTCTGAGCTCCCATCCTCTCAACTGCAGCACCCAACTAAAGCCTTCTTCCCTGGTAATACCTGTAGTTTTGGTGATTGGCTTTCTGTGCAGTGAGCAGACAGATCTAGACTGAATCCCTGGTGTTTTGGTAACATAACTTCAAACTAAATTTGAAAAACTGTGAGATCGATGTGTCAATTATACTATTGTTAACAATTTATTTTTATGTCTATACCATCTAAAATCATATCATGATATATACACACACCAATATTGCTGCTTTTCACAGTAAGGATTTTGAAAAATTTAATGTGTAGATAGCACTCATTATAGGCCAAGCCTATTTTAGGTATTTTATAAATATTAATTCATTTAGTCCTTATAATGGCCCTTTGAGATATTTAAGGTTTTAATGTAGAGGAGTGTTAAGAGTCCAGGTCAAAAATCATGTCAGTGTATCAGGATTACCTGGTATACTAGTTTTCTAGGGCTATTGTATCACAGTAAGACAAACTAGATGTCTTAACTTACTGTCTCACAGTTCTGGAGATTAGATGTGCAAGGCCAAGTTGTTGGCAGCGCTAGTTCTTTCTGAGGGCTGTGAAGAGCAATTTCTTACGTGCCCCTCCCATAGCTTCCGGTGATCTCTGGCAAATTTTGGCACTCTTTGCCTTACAGAAGCATCATCTTGATCTCTGCCTTCACATAGTATTCTCCCTTTGTGTATGTGTGTGTGTCCAAATATCAACTTTATAAGAACACCAAGCATATTGGACTAAGGACCCATCCTACTCTAGCATGAACTCATCTAAACCTACATAATTACATCTATAATGAGCCTATTTCCAGATGAGTTCACATTATGAGGTACTAGGGGCTAGACATCATCATATGAATCTGGGAGACTCAGTTCATCCTATAACACCTGGAAAGCTGTTAAAAATAAAGACTCCAATGTGATACCTCTTCAGTCAGAAACTCTGGGGGTGGGGCCTGTTTTGTAATAAACTTCTTGGGTAATTACGGTGCAGCCATCTTGTGGCAAGTCCATACAGTTATACTTGGAAACAGTCAATATAGCCAAGGGGATAATATGGAGAGTTTCTTAGCAATGCAAAGGGAGGTATAACTGTGAAGAATGCATGACCAGGCTTAATGAATATTTGAGTGGATGGAAAAGTAAAGAATAGGGTCCAGTCTAGTTTGAGAATTCAAGTCTTAGTGGCAGGAAAGGGTTATAAAAATATTGAATCATTCCAGAAAAGAAAATGATTTCCTCCTTCAACAGCTGAAATCAGTATATATGAAGTGCTCAGTGAGTGAAGTCATCGCCCTAGGTACCAGAAATCCAAAGATGAATGAGATGCCATGCCTTACCCCAAGGAGTTCACAACCTATTGGGGAAGGGGGCAGATAAAAAAATTAAAATACAGGCCAACTGCGGTGGCTCATACCTGTAATCCCAGCACCTTGGGAGACCAAGGCAGGTGAATCACAAGGTCAGGAGTTCAAGACCAGCCTGGCCAAGATGGCGAAACCCCGTCTCTACTAAAAATGCAAAAATTAGCTGGGTATGGTGGCGGGCACCTGTAATCTCAGCTACTCAGGAGGCTGAGGCAGAGAATTGCTTCATCCTGGGAGGTTGAGGTTGTAGTGAGCCAAGATCATGCCACTGCACTCCAGCCTGGGTGACAGAGTGAGACTCCGTCTCAAAAGATAATAAAATAAAATAAGATAAGATAAGATAAAATAAAATAAAATAAAATTTGATAAGGACTGTAATCCAGAAGACCAAGTTCCTATGGAGGAATCCAGGGAAAGATGGTGGGTTTCTTTAGAGTCACTCAGAGGTGACTTCAGGCTCAGGCATTCAGGAGGCTTAGACTCAAGAGAGAGCCAATCTATTGACATCTTGTCCTACAGAATAAAGGTGAATCAAAAGTGGGACCCCCATTCAGTCTTGGTACAAACAGGACCAAGATGGAGGACTGCTGCTCTTGTTTCTGCTTATTGTACAGGAATGTGCAGAAGTAATGGAAAATATTCAGCGCACCAGGTGGCTGTCATCCCTGTGATGATTCTTCCCTTTTATAGGTTAAATGCTTTTGTTTTTGTTTGTTTTTCCCAGTTCCTGTTCTCTCTGATATCTGTCCACTAAGATATTCAATACCAAGTAGAAACTTACTGAGTTTTTGTAAAGAAGCAAATATAATTGATGGCAAAGAAATTCATGGAACTTCAGGAATTATCTGCCAAGTCATTGTCATCCCTACTCCTCCAGAATGGTGTGTTTGCTATGGAAACAGATCATATTAAAATCAGAAGTTAGTACTCCAGTAATATTCAATGGAGCCTTTTCTAGGATTTTTTTTTTTATCTTTGGAAGTCTGTCTACGAGTTGGCAAGAAGAGATTATATGTGTTTATCTCTTGTAGTTTCCCAATTTATTTAGAAAAGGGATATAGATTTAAGCAAAACTTAGGTGGCTGCAGAGAGCAGGAGAAGCATCTTTCCACATTTTTCCTCTTGTTCCTTGTTCCTCCTGAGTAAAGCTGTTGCTGGTCTTTGCACATAGACCACATAGACCTGCCAGAGTTGGGAAAGAATAATTATTGCTATTCCACAGCTTTTATATACTTAGGTTTACATTTTCCTTCAAGAAGATCTTACAGTACTTATTTATGGATTTATTACTGTACTAGCTTTCTATTGCTGCAGTAAATAAATTACTCAAACAGTGGCTTATAACAATACAAGCTTATTATCTTATAGTTCTGTAGGTTAGAAATCTGACCAGTCACACTGGATAAAAGTGTATTTGTCAAGGTGCTGCCAGGGCTGTGTTCCCTTCTGGAGCCTCTAGGGGAGGATTAGTTTCCTTGCTTTACCTACCGGGCTACCTGCATTCCTTGGTTTACAGCCCCTTCTTCCATCTTCAAAACATTATCACTCAAATCTCTGTTTTTATAGTCACACCTCTTCTGATTCAGTTCCTCATGTTTTCTTCTTATAAGAACACTTGTGATTATATTGAGCTCGCTCAATAATCCAGAATAATCTTCCTATCTCAAGATCCTTAATTTAGTAACATCAGCAAAGTCCTTTTGCCATAAAAAATAATATAAACACAAATACTGGGGATTAGGACATGGGATTCTTTAGAGAATGAGGAGAAATTGTTCATATACCACACTAAGGAGGTGTTTACAAGTTTTTGGTTCTCTTGATTTTCAACCTCACTCTATTTCCAAGAAGACCATATCTTCATCTCATGGAGAGAGCCTATTAGCCATTCCTGAATAATACATTTGACTCCAGTTTGCACAGGCTTCGGAAAGCCAGACCCTAGCAGCACCAAATGGATTTTTCACCTAAGATACCCAGTTTTTTAAAAGAGGAAGGCAGATAAGATTAATAACTTAACGAAATTAAGTATGTCTTTGCACCATTAAACTTCAGTGTAAATTTCTTGTGTCTCCAGCAGAGCTTAGCATATTGTCTTGTACATAGTAGGTATAGAGTAACTTTAATATTAAGAGTGAAATAACTTGTTACAAAAATAAGTGCAATTTTACATGCCAATATCTTTGCATGGCAGTATCGCAATTAATTTTTTTAAAGGATTTTAGTCAGATTGCAGGGACATAAAAACACTCATTTGCAGTTATTACTGGAAAAGTGGGAGAAACTCCCACTTCAACATGGTCCTCTAAACTTCTTAAATAACACGTTGAAACAAAAAACAAATAGAAACATGCATTTATAAAAAATGCATACCTTTAGAAGTATTTTACATAGGCATGTTTTTCCAAATATTTACTTGAATGCTTGATAGTGACAAGTGAAGGTAAAACATTTTAAGGTGAATTGACCGCTTTCCTGGCACAGGAAAGTGTAGTCTACAAAACTAGAGGTGTTAACTCAATGCTACTCAAACAGCATTTTATCTTTTGCTTGCCATCCCCTCCTACTCTTTCTAAAATAAATGTGGTAATTGAGCCTTGTTCATTTTGTTTCATTTTCTATGAAAATCAAGTCCCATTCATATCTCTACATCCTACAAGTTAGTTGTAAATCTAGACATAGGTAAGAGCAAACTCATTTCCAATAATATACTTAAAATTTTCCCCCACAAAGCAATGAAAATAATAATAATAATAAATACGGACTCAAAATTTTCCCCAACCCCTCCATCTCACGTCACATAGGAAAGTAGCAGCCATTCTCACTACCACCAAACATTTCTGGGTCTAGCAATCTCTTCATTCTACAATCTTAAGGGAAAGAAAAAACATTTTTCTTACATACTCTTTAAAATTAATAGTATACAATACATTTTCTTTCTGAGAGTGGGAGAATGAAATTTAAAAACATGCTTATTTGTTCTCTCTGCTGAAAATATCTAACATTAGAAGAAGAAACTTTGGTTTCCACAGAAAATATTGGCTTCCCCATTAGCCATCTGCTAGATGGTGGGAATGTTCTGTGTGGCTTTCTCAGCTGGAACATTTGGAAAATGAATACATTGTTGCAAAAACTCACATTGTTGGCCATAATGTTTGTGATCATGTTGTTGACTTACCAGATGTCCTGGAAATTCCTGGGGTGGAAGTATCTCCAGTCGTTCCAAATCCCTCTGTCATGTTGCAGAATGGTGTTTGATATACATGACTCTTAGCTATTTCTCATTGTTTACTATGGAAATTTTCATTCAGTCAATCATTCTGTAGACTGACACAAGATGGAAATAGACACCATGGAACATGTTATCCCAACTTGCACACCTGTGCATAAAAGACCTATTATTTACCATTCTTCAAAATAATTTCTTCTCCAACCCCAACTACGTGTATATGTCTATCCATATTTAAGATTAGATAGGATGACCTTCATTGTGCTTATCTCCAGCTGGTAAAGAAGCAACAAAGTCTAACAGTTGAATGCTTTGCTCACTCATGCCTGAGAAGTTTGTTCAAAATGTGAATAACCCCTGTTTTCAGTCTGGGCCTTCCCTTTTGAAATTAGATTAATGGAGTGATGAATAAAGTAAAAAAAAACTCTTCTAGACTTTTGCATGCAAATAGATTAGACTTTGCCTCTTGCAAATGGAATTATCTCTTACCAGTCTGTTTCTCTACTTGTTTTCATTTAAAGCAAGAGAATACTCTGAGCAGAATGAGAACATGTTCTAAGTGGGGATTCATTTTAATACTCCATAGAATTCTGACTGCCATATGTATGATTATTCTGACATAATCATACATGACTATAGGTACTTGCCAAACTACACTTCATGATTAATTTTAACTTTTATTTCTATCAAAAGGATATAGCATGAGGATTTATATCCCCAGAGGTTTTTAAAGGACAACAATTTATCTTTGAGGCCCCTATTCCACCACACAACTCCAGTTCATTTGCTTCTTGGAGTTTGCATGCTGCCGCAGCAAGTAGGTGGCTCATCCACTCCTATGTCTCTCATCTTTACCAGCATCCTCCGACCTGTCCATCCTCTGGCCCAGTGCTCTGCCATCGGTGTGCACAATTGCTACTGAGATAACTCTGTCCCAAAGGCCCCTTTGGGTCTGGTGGTTCTTGCTGTTGCTTACAGACAGGGGAATACCTGATAAGCTATTTATGGCGTATATTCTTAAACAGGCCTCACAGCCATCTTCTTGTTACCAAAGCACCAGGGGATCTGGTGAGGTCCTGCTGCTCGCCAAACAGAAAGCCAGTCACTAAGACAACGAGTATTGCCAGGGAAGAAGGCTTTCATTGTGTGCTGCAGCCAAGCAAATGGGAGATCAGTCTCAAAAGCATCTCCCTGACTGACTAAAATTAGGGTTTAAGTAGTAGGGAAGAAATATAATGACATGCAGGAAAACAGGAATTAGGAAGAGGTAAGGAAGAGGAGTTGGTAAACAGGAAGAGCAGGTGGTCACTTAGGCAATCATGACAGGTGAGGGGTCTGGTGTCTCATTGTCCAGATGTGGCAATCTGGTAAGTTTCAGTTTCTTTATACTATCTCAAAGGCCTGATGGTTGATTTCCTGAGAAAAGAACTCACATAAGACAAATACAACTTTCTTAAGTTTTAAGACTGGGAGGATTATCTTCTATGTTTATTGAGAAGAAACCATTAAATACCAGTTCTATGGGACAATTAGGTTGGTTTCACCTCACTGAGTTTCTCCATTGTAGGCGTGATACGATTTGGCTCTGGGTCCCCACCCAAATCTTATGTTGAATTGTAATCCCCAGTGTTGGGGATGGACCTTGAGGGAGCTTATTGAATCATGTGGGCAGATTTCTCCCTTGCTGTTCTCATGACAGTGAGTGAGTTCTCATGAGATCTGGTTGATGCTGGGCATGGTGGCTCATGCCTGTAATCCTAGCACTTTGGGAGGCAGAGGCGGGTGGATCACCTGAGGTCAGGAGTTTGAGACCAGCCTGGCCAACATGGTGAAACCCTTTTTCTACTAAAAATACAAAAATTAGCCAGGCATGGTGGCGGATACCTGTAATCCCAGCTACTCGGGAGACTGAGGCAGGAAAATCGCTTGATCCTGAGGGGAGGAGGTTACAGTGAGCTTAGATCATGCCATTGCACTCCGGCCTGGGTGACAGAGCGAGAGTCCATCTCAAAACAAAACAAAACAAAAAAAACAGAAAGCACGTGGCACTTCCCCCTTCACTCTGTCTCTCTCTTTCTCTCCTGATGCCATGTGAAAACATGCTTGCTTCCCCTTCACCCTTCACCATGATTGTAAGCTTCCTGAGGCCTCCCCAGTTGTGCCTTCTGTACAGCCTGTGGAACTGTTAGTCCATTAAACTATTTTTCTTTATAAATTACCCAGTTTCAGGTAGTTCTTTATAGGAGTCTGAGAACAGACTAATACAGGGAGTCTCCATTATGGAGAACGGGCTTAATCACCCTTTTCCTTAGCTTTTTTTTTTTTTTAAATATATTATTATACTTTAAGTTGTAGGGTACATGTGCATAATGTGCAGGTTTGTTACATATGTATACTTGTGCCACGTTGGTGTGCTGCACCCATCAACTCGTCAGCACCCATCAACTCGTCATTTACATCAGGTATAACCCCAATGCAATCCCTCCCCCCTCCCCCGTCCCCGTGATAGGCCCTGGTGTGTGATGTTCCCCTTCCCGAGTCCAAGTGATCTCATTGTTCAGTTCCCACCTATGAGTGAGAACATGCGGTGTTTGGTTTTCTGTTCTTGCGATAGTTTGCTGAGAATGATGGTTTCCAGCTGCATCCATGTCCCTACAAAGGACACAAACTCATCCTTTTTTATGGCTGCATAGTATTCCATGGTGTATATGCCACATTTTCTTAATCCAGTCTGTCACTGATGGACATTTGGGTTGATTCCAAGTCTTTGCTATTGTGAATAGTGCTGCAATAATCATCACTGGCCATCAGAGAAATGCAAATCAAAACCACAATGAGATACTATCTCACACCAGTTAGAATGGCAATCATTAAAAAGTCAGGAAACAACAGGTGCTAGAGAAGATGTGGAGAAATAGGAACACTTTTACACTGTTGGTGGGAGTGTAAACTAGTTCAACCATTATGGAAAACAGTATGGCGATTCCTCAAGGATCTAGAACTAGAAGCACCATATGACCCAGCCATCCCATTACTGGGTATATACCCAAAGGATTGTAAATCATGTTCCTTAGCTTTTATATGCCCTTCTTAGGTTGTACTGCCTCCTCATCACCCCTCCTGCAAACAAAGCCCACAACGTATCTCCTGGGCCCACTGAGGTCCCTGTTCTCACTTCCTCTTCATCTCTTTTCATTCTCCTTTATTACCTTTCATTCCACCTTGGAGAATTCACTAATCTGGAGGGCATTGCCTGTATAAGAACAATCTCCTTAAACAGACAAGGTTTGAGAACCTAAACTTGTATATGGCTTTTTTTTACCCTTATTCTTCCCCTGAGGTGAAAATTACAAAGCCAACTATTTGCTTGAATGCAGGAATGGAGTTGGGAAAGAAAATACAGGAAGGAGAAATTTAAAATCATATTCATGTCTAAAAAATATTATGCCACCACTTAGCTGTAATCAGAACAGAGAAATAAACAGAAGAAAAGGCCAAAATGGAGGAAGGAGAGTTGATAACTTTAATCAGCAATTTTCTGCTGTTCAATAAACTTTACTCGAACTACCTTTTACAGAGGTTGCTATCAATATAATACACTTCCAGATTCATGGTCCCTGCTACACCATGTTCAAGTAAATCCAGGTCCCCTACTTAAAACTTTGAATTTGATAAGAATTGTCAAGAGTTATTTAACCTATGATTGATTTAATGAGTAAATACAAATTAGTGGCAAGAAAAATATTGATCACCCTATATTTTTGTCCTTCAACACCACATGCTGTTCTTATGAAAAGCTTTTTTTAATTAATAAGTGTTCTCTACTTTGGGAATATCTACATAGAAAGAAATATTATGGAAATGTAAGAATGAAGAATATACATATCTATCACCTGGGGAGATTTCACAGCTGTGTATACATATATATATCTCACCACAGACAAACTGGATCAGAATCTCTAAGGTAAGCATCTATACTATTGGTATGTTTTAAAGCTCCTCAGGTGATTCTAGCACACTCATTCCTACCTACATCTCCCATTTATACAGGTAGGTTGTGATTTCTCTAAAATACATCATCATATGTAAAAGAGCTTAAAACCACTTCTCCTGACCCTTTGTTACAAAGTACATTCGTTTCACCGTACCCCACCAAATCTCAACACAGAAAGGTTCTTCTGCAGTTTATTTCAATGTCGAAGAGAACTCATGGAAATATTATCAAATTTTACTCACGTGGTTTCCCACTTAAAAGCTGTAACTTTTGTTCTTATTTCCCCAAAGAATGACTCCATAGCCCACCAACCCCACCCCATCTACATGTTTGATAAATGTTAACCAACACATTTATGAGATGGCATTCCATTCTAAAATGACATTTAAAAGCTCTGAAGCTTAATTGCTGCAGATAGCCATCAATCATCACTGGGATGCCCTGGGATAGTGGACTTTGAGGTGTGCCATCCATCTCGTGGAGCCAATGTGGCTGGCTGCCTCCCCCTCTTCGTCACTGGGTGATGGGGCTGATGGAGACTGGCTGCTGCACTTTCGAAGTGCCGCCTGTTCCCTCACCTGTTCTGCATGACTACTGAACTGAGCCGTGTTGTGACAGTCTGCCTGCTCTTCCCTGTTCAGATTAATGAATACAGCTTTAGCTGTTAATTCAAAGCTAGTCAAGCTTATATCCAACAATTAGAGACCAATTTTCATATTCAGCTTGAGTGTATGTGTAGAAGGGTGTGGGAGAGGAATGCAATTTGGCATAATTTTTTATATCTAGGGCAAACCCGAAGAAGAAGAAAGAGTAAGGGACTCTGAAGATAATACCTGAAATTCTCATTGAGCCTGGCTACAGTGAAATGTTTCAAGCCTCAACATCTTTGCAAGCTACAACAATGTGACCCTGGGGGTTTGAGCTTCCTGCCCTGCAGCCAGACTGTAATCCATCAAAAATAATAAGCACACACGGCAGGCCCCTGTGCACATCTACCTTCAAGGGGGGTCAGCAGCTAAGCTGGCATTTCAAGAAGCTCTAGAGTCAGAACCCATACTCTCCTACTCCTCATTTCCACCACAATAAGAAATGAAATTCTTACTTATATATAGAATTATGTACGTGACCTCATATGCCCCTGTTCAAGATCATCCAGGGCAATGGAGACTTAGTACTTAATTCTAAACCCTGGATTATCCTCCCTGATAAAGCAAGGGCTGCACCTGCCCCCATCTTGCATGGAAAAGCTATGTGTGGACCCCAGATGCTAAATCTGTCAAAATACATTCTTACTAGAATTTCTACCTACAGAAAGGAGAAAACAAACCTGGCCACGGTATTCCTGCCCCTGGTTACTGGTGGGAGGGGAGGTTCAGAGGAGCACATGTCTATTCAAGGTACATAATACCTTTGTCCTGGGATTTGAAATCTCCCCTTTGCCACTTTGACTGATATTCTTACAGTGGGGGGCCCGTGACTGGAGCACAATACGCAGCAGCTATAGTATGTTTAGTCGCATTGATGACTCTAGTTGCTTTCCTTATTAAATTCCTTTTTGTTCTACTTTATTTAGCAGTCGTCTCTAGTGTTGGACTAGCTCAGCCATGCAATGGGATTGTTGTCCTTCTTTGGGCAGTGTACCCTTGGGGACCATGTGGAGATGGTAGTGGTCATTCCAGTTTGAATGTCTCCATTCGGGAGGTAAAACACAGGCAGAGTCAGGGCAGCACATGCAATAGCTATTTTTCTGGATCTCTATTTTGCTCAAATGCTTGCAGTTTCTGTTTAGTGTTTTTAAAGGGTGTCTATTATCTTGTCTGTAACCTAGTAATTAAAAAGACCTAACTTACAGACTGGATGCTAGGAATAAATGAGATAAATGTAAAGCACTTAGTACAATGTAGAGTGCATAGACAGAATTTAACAAATGATAGAGTGTAAAATGTGTCAATAATTGTTCCTGTGTTTTTGGAAGTTTGTATCTAATTGGGGACAAATATACAAAACAATTGAATTGGTAAATAGATGCTTGTAGACTAAGAGATAGCTATGATCAAAGTTGAAAATCAAAGTTACTTTGATAGAGAATAACTGGGAATGAGGGGGCTGTTTTGGAATGAGGGCCATCAGGGTAAGCCATTCTGAGAAAATGCCATTTAAGCTGAGACCAGAGAAGGAAGAGCGAGAAGAGCTGGGTGAGTGGCACTCCATGCACAGCAAACAGAAATTATGAAGCCTGTGAGGTGGGAAACAGATGCGAGTGGCTGGGATGTGGAGAGAGACGGGTGAGAATGGGGTGAGGTGAGGCCGTTTGGATTGTACTCCAAGTACCTGCTACTCAAAGTGTGGTCCGCACATCACCTGGGAGCTTGCTGAAAGTGCAAAAACTTGAATGCCACCCCAGACCCCCAAGTCAGAATCTGCACTTTAACAAAAACACCTGGGTGATCTCTTTCCCATTTTGAGATTAATAAGACTGGCTTAGGAAGTCACTGAAAAGTTTAGACAGCACAGTGGTGCGATCTGCTTTATATTTCTTAAAGAATCACTTTAGATGTTATAGCAAACATTGATTAGAGGGCAGTGTTTTTATTGCTATTTTATTACTCCTTTTGAAGTCTTCTGCCTAGTTTACTGCTCATTCCAAGACTGGATCCTACTGCAATCTGGCCATCTTCCACCTGAAATC